TGAATTTACTAATACTAATACTATAATATTAAGGTTCAATTTTTAATCTATTAAGTTATGGTACTTATTTCTATGTTAAAATAAATGATAACTTTTTAATGAGGAGATATAAAATGTTGTATGATTGCGGAGGGAACCAAAGTGTTCGAAATTTTGTATTGATAAAAAAACTAACAAGATATTATATTAGATATACAATTTGGAATTTGTAGCGAATATTGATTAGTTAGTTATATTATTTAAATTAATTAAATAATATCGTGTTAAACATAATATTTAATAACATAGTTTGTAATATTTACTACAGTAATAATCAAGTGGCTTCATTGAATTAAAAAAATGATTATATAAATGTATAAAACTATACTTATACTCGTAAATGTATATATAAACTCTTTAGTCCTATATGTTTTTATTTGATTTTATATCTAAAATATATTAATACAGTATAAATACAAAAGTTGCAATTAATGAATGAATGAAAGAGTATGAGTCATCAGATTCTAAATTAAGTGTTTTTTAACATTATTCTAAACAATATTAAAGTTCGAAAAGAAAATTGTTATAGCAGAAATGATAAAACTTTTACTTTCATAAATGAGTTTTTTTTTTTTTTGCATAAGATACGAACAAATATATTTCATTAATAAATACTTTTAAACAGTATTTTTGTGAGTTGTACCTATAAATCAATTTTTTTCAATGTCTATTTTTTGAATTTTTATGTTATCAAAATGCACTCAATTTATTTATTAAACATTGAATTTTTTTTTTTTTTTTTTTTGAAATAACAAAAGGTCCTGAATGCTTCTTAAAAGTTAATATATAAATTTATTTTATAACTTCACAGAAATTTCAGTGTTTTCAACAGGTAACAGAATTATGTTTCAATAGATGGGAAGCAATTATTACCCGGTTGGTTGTGTACTGCTGCTAGTACAATATTATAACGCCAAACACAGATCCGTAATGTTTTCGTATTTTATTTGTTCATTCAAATTGTCTATAAGTCGTGACTTTCAATCGTCAATGTCCACAAATAACGACTTGAGTTTGGCGGCGGTGAAGATCAGGCTCAACTTCGCTTTGGTCGACTTCCATTTATCATCATGCAGATTGAACAAGCCAGGCCCGGCTCAAGTGTTTAAATAAACATAGGCGAAATTTAGTTTTTGCTGCCCTTTGCGTGTAAATATTTTATTAAATATTTTTTTTTTATACATAAAAATTGTCCAGGAAAAATGCCGCCCTAGACGTGGGCATATATCGCCTACCCCTTGAGCCGGGTCTGGAACAAGCCATTATATAAATTGTCGGGTACAAGCGAAACGTTGTTCGGTGTTTGATCAGTGAACAAACCGAAATCTTTGACCATGGCATGTATTAGTGTTGTATTGCATAGGACTAGCACGGATCGTATCAACCGAAATATCGTCGTCTGCGTAAACGGCAGTAAAGAGTATGCAGCAGTTCGGTTAGATACATTCGGCTCCTAATACCGATTAAAAAATCTTAAATTTTTTGAAAAATTATCCTAAATACGCCACTGCCGTAACCATACGCTTTCAATGCACATCTATATGCATTCATAATTTAAAATTAACCAGCTCATCGATTTCCGCGTGTTTTGTGCAATCGAGAAGACCAATACTTGGTTATAAATATTTATAATATTGCGCGTGTAATATTTTTCATCAAGGCCAATGATCAAATTATAGTTATGGGAAAAGAATACAAAGAAAACCAAAAACAATAAAATTAAAAATAAACTATTGTATGTTTATATTTCAGCGAATCTAAAATATTGTTAAATCTTTTTGAATAATAAGCGAATTTGGTTCATTTGGTATGAGTAATGGTATGAGTAAAAAAGATCTTGGCTTGATTTTAATCGGAGTTTGCGTATCCTTACATGGAAATATTTAGAATTTTGTTTTTAACCATATGTTACTCGTGTAAGATAATATAATATTAGTTAGTAATAAGGGTATAAAAACGTTGCTTAATTATTACAGCATTTTTATTACACTTAAGTTCAAATTATTCTGGAATTTCGACATCATTATTTAAGAAAATACCACTCGGTTTCGTAAGATAAGTACATTATACTTTATTAGATATTTAGAATCAAATATGTTTGACAAGATATCATAAATTACGCGATGTAGGAATATTTTCATTGTACTTTAGAGATTTAAATAGACAATTGAATAATGTATAGTGAACGTTTTCACGTTGATTGTTACCTATTTAGGATTACACTTATAATATGATTAAAATGTTACAATATAGCAATAATAGAAATGCAAATTTAAATAATTTTAATTCCTATAATTGTTAAAATAACATTTAGTCTAAGATTTAAATTTATAATAAATATGTTATAATAAAATTACAATTATTCGATTTTTTTAAAAGATAAGCGAATTGGTTCAGTTGGTGTGAGTAAAAAAGATCTTGGTTTAAATTTAATCGTATTCGGTGTATCGTCACATGTAGATACTTCAAATTTAGATAACATTTCTGACAGTCCCGTTTTGATTTCCACCATCGCAAATCGTAAACCTATTTGTAAAGTAGAAAATAATATTAAATTATATGAAAATACTATGGTTTTATCGATATTTTTAATAAAGAGTAAATATGTTCAATATTCGTAGTGCTGAAAAATATAACTATCATATTATTAAGACTACATTAAAGATATTTAATAATGGTATCGTCTTAGACATCTTATACAAATATATGCTTAATTAAGTTATATAAATATTAGTTAAGGCTTTTATTTTGTCTTCAATTGTTTATTTTTTAACTACATTTTTAACTAACTTACTAATTTTCTTTACAATAAAAATAAGAGAAAAAAAAGTGTAAAGTAGAACATAAAATACTCATTTTAAAACTAAACAAATGTATATTCAAACTAAATTATTCCTATGGTAATTACTTCAAAGATAATGAATTGAATACGTAAGGTACTTTAAATCCCATGAAATTATAAACTCATTTATATATAGAAGAGATATTAACTTTTAGAGATTGTTTAGGGTAAAAATTATTATGATTGTTTAGGGTAAAAATTATTATATTTGGGCAGATAAAATAAGCTACCTATTGTTGGAGTGAAAATAAATTATAAATAAAACTAATATGTAGTACTATGAACGTTTGACACACTCACTCTTCGAATGCATAACGGACACCAGTATATAGTGTAATTATATTTACCAATACAAATCCTTGGTCCATCTCCGAATGGAATGAATGTACCGAGTGGCCTGGAATTTTTATTCTCATCTGTAAATCGTTCGGGATCAAATACTTCTGGGTCTGGATAATAGTTAGGATCATGATGTAATGCATATATCGGTATCATTAACTTATCGCCGACGTTAAAAGTGACATTACTATCGGCTATTGTGTATTTCTTGGAACATACTCGGTTTAATACGGGAACCGGTGGATGCATTCTTAATGTTTCTATACAAAAATTAATTATAATAAAATGTTATCATATTTGTCAACTAAATTGTAATACAGTAAGAATTATAATTTGTATTACTCGGGGGTGTTGATACTTTTATTGTAATGGAAGTAATTGTCTTCTAAGGTACACTTACATTTCCCTATTATTAATTTTTTTAAAAATACATGATTTAAACATAGAAAAAGTCTGTTATGCTTAATAAGTACGATATACTTACCATTTATCACCATATCCATGTATTTCATATCCTTAATTATATCGTAAGATAGTTTTCCATCGTTGGCATATAGTGTTTCCATGATTTGTTGTCGTAACTTTTCTTGAACTTCTTGATTTTTAGCCAATTCATATAAGCAATAACTTATTGTCGAAGCTGAAGTTTCATAACCCGCAACGAAGAATATGAAAGTATTTGCAGATAATATATCATCGGTGAAAAGTTCTGAAAAATCATTCAAATTGTATTGATTTAGCTTATTTTGAATTGATTTTTATAATATAGATATTACCAAGCTCAAATAAATTATCAACGAGTATAAATTATAAATATAAAAAAAAAATATATTGATATTCAATAGAAATTATAGATAAGGATGTGAATAAAGAAATTATCGAAGAACTTATAGAAATATCATCAATAGTTTTTTAATAAATTATACCAGCTTTATTATAAAATCAATTACATTAACCTTCTATAAAACATATGGTAGACTAAGTACATCTATATATTTAAGAAACATATCAGGTTGCACCAAATTTGTCATTATCGGTAGATTATTTTTACTACTGTTGAATTGTTATCTAAGAATAAACTAACGTTTGTTAAATTAACACGTGTTAATTTTAAGAATGTCGCCCAATAATTATTTTAATATTCATGTTTTTACCTGTATACCGGTTATTAAATAAATGTTACTGTAGTATAAGTTAATGAAAATAATTCTTAGGGACTATTAGTAATTATTTAGTGCAAGTTAGAAAAGCAAAAAAATTATTAAAAATTGATGACAACGCAACACTACAGTACAATATATTATAATGTGGATGTTTCGCCGGGCCGATCTTACGCCAAATGTTGCAATTTTCCGTGCCAACTCGTCTGTGGTAAGAGGAGGATTGTTTGAGTGGTTAGTTGATTTATATAATGTATGTAAAAATAATAATTACACAAAGATAAATATTTCAAGTGTGGGTTGATAAACTGCCGTATTATTACCAATAATAATAAATACAAAAAAAGGGAAGCGTCCTACACAATAAATTATGATAAAACTGAAATTAAATAATAAATAGAATCGTACGGCTTCCGAAACAATATTAATAATAACACACGATCACGGGAGCACACAAATTACAACTATGATAAGGACCAATGTAAAACACGAAGTGCTTTGATCGTCATCCCAATCTCCCAGCCGTACTAACGGTTAGTTTAGGACAGAGATTGGCAAGCTTTTTGGACCCTTGAGCAATATTCACAATCAAAAAGGGTTCACGGACAATAAAAAAAAATGAATATATTCAATGAAATTTTTTAGTTCTTAAATTTAATGTGGACCGTATAAAAGAAACGAGTGAGCCACCGGTTGTCAACCATTGTTCTAGAATATTCTAGAATCTGCTTTGCAAATTATTTTCGCCCCAGAAACTCACGAATTGCATAACCGGTTTGTTTACCGCAAATTGATTAAACGGCGCGAACGACGGAATAACATATTTATTAATATTAAATAATGACTGCAAAACAATGATAACGAAATTTAATTACAAACGCAATTTTACACGATGAATCGGCCTCAAATTTAACTCGTGATAAAATGCATTTTTAACAACAGATAAACTTAAAAACATGGTTTGTTTAAACTTTAGTTAAACGAATTCATCTCTGAGTAAATATTTAGTGCAACAGCGCAATTTTTACAGTCACGTATTACAGTGTATCTAAATCGATATTCCTACAATCTCAATAAAAAAAATCTCATGAATTTCCATAGTTTTCACTTTTCACCATTAAAGTACGTTTTTAACAATTTTTATATGAAATTTAAATTATTAGTTCATACGCACTAACTGTTCACAAAAATGTTTAGGTATATAACAGCGTTATATTTTAAAAATACTCACTTTTGTTTTGTTCATTTTGTTTCTCATCGTTTTTCAATTTCACTAAAACCGATATAAAATCATTACGGGAGTTCTCTCCAGATTCGTGTTGTTTCATTGTTGTCTCGAGTAGATTATCGAAGAAGTCATATATGTGATCAGGCAATCCTCTCATTCTGAATAAGTCCAATAGTCTACCTAAGCCAATTGTTCGGATGAAATCTAATATCACTATCTTCCATGTAGTCTTAAATATGTCTCGACCAGCTCGCCGGAATTCTGAATTCGGGTCTGCTAATGAGTTGCAGTCAAGTCCAAAGGCACACCGACCTATAGTGTCGGTTGTTAACTGAGCCGATACTTCGCTCACATCGACTATTCCTGTAATACAATGTGTTATACACATATTATGTTGGTAAATTTAAAGTATGTGTCATATATTTTATTTTGAATATTATTATAGATGGGTTAGGACAAAACGCATCCGGTCGACCGGAACAACAACTTATATTCTTCTAATCATAGGTGTTACACTATAGTCTACCCAGTTCAAGTTGACCCACTCGTTAGACGAAAACTGGTCGCCGACGCGCACGTAGTATACGTCGTGAGATGTATTAAAAAGTTTTCTCGACACGACTCTTGGGCACGCTAGTAACAACACTGTATTTTTATGCTGTAATTTTTCTAAGCTATCGACATTGTTGATTTTAATCATTTTGATAATAGATAATATAATTTACAATGGATTGTATAGCCTAACCACAGTTTAAGCATAAGGTTTCGAATTATACATACTTTGTAACACTCTGTGAGTGACAACGATCACCGACGACCAAACACAAAGGTCTGGGTCATCTCGGCGGTTCATTTGCAAGCGCGTAAGTGGATTAGCTTAAACTGAATAGACAATATAGCATTTCATCGAGACCGGTCGATTACTTTCGCCGACCAGTCGTAATATGTTGCGGTAGGGTGGGAAACAAATCGGCAGGACGTATTATTAAAATACATTATGTTATATCGTGTATTCCACACTACACATTTGAGTCGATGCGTTTTATAAATATTTTGAGAAATACTAAAATAATTATAATGAATTTTGACATGGATTAATTTATATTTTGTATTCAAAAAATCCTTGAATATGGGAAGTTGGTTCAAAAGACTACTTAGATAGGAGTCTGAAGCAAAAAAGTTGCCATACACTTGCTTGTAGAAATCGAAAAAGAAAATAAAGACAAACATGCTAAGTAATAATATTTTATTTATTTATATTAATGAAAATATTTATAGAACTACTTTTTAAACTTAACAATTTTTTTTTATTTAAAACTTATATCTAAATCATGTCATATTGAAAATCTACTACGCCTGGGACCATAAAGTAGTTTGCGAAGCAATCCCTGACTTCAACTCCATGTGAACGATTCTCTGTTCAACGAGCTTCATTATTTTTAAAATTATGCGTTTAAGCATATTCATAATGAACACCATATCTTTTATGGACGTAGTTTTGGAGTATGCAATACGCTTTTATAATGTCGTTAGTAAAATCTGGTTCCACTTGGATAGATCCATGCAAAACAAACCATTTATTTGGTAGTACTCCAAATGCACATTTGACGTTGCGCCTTGCTCTGGGAAATCGGCAGTTGAACACTCTTCAGGAATTATTTATCTAGTTACGTCCCGAATATGACCTGAGTAAATTTTTATACCGAGCAAACGCTTCGTCTTCAATTAACACATACGGTTGCGAGTTGATACTTGTATTTAGTATATCAACAGGTTCTCGTATATTTATTTTCATATAAATCTTCCTTTAATGCGGAAAGCTATGTACCGGTTGATAAATAAACGTTTATAAAAAACAAGAAAAATTAAATAAGTGGGTACTCTATGAATGTATTCTATATAATCTATTATTATTAAATAACGTCCTCTAACTAAAAAAACAATTTTCGATATTTTGAATTATACGTTATATATATTTTTTAATTATTGATTTTATGAGCTAAACATATAATAATAAATAATAAAAGACATTACATGTATAATATGTTTGTTGAATATTAAATATTATATTTTTTTTTATTACTTGTATATTCATTTTAATTTAAAAAAGAAATGATATTTTTAATTTTAATTTTTTTTTAATAATACAAAATATTGTACATTTTTTATAATTATTTAAATATTAGATAACAAAGTTTGTTTTATGCGTTGTTATTTGATCTTTGAATGAAAATAAGTAAACTACATTTTTTCTTATGTAACGAATGTTCCAACTATCTACAGGTATTATTAGTGATGAGTCAAATCGTTCGAATGTCGAAATATGTCGTAATCTTAACTCAAAATTAAAAAAAATCCTACCAAACTATGTAACATTTACGTATATTCAAAATTTAAATTTGAAAAAGTTCTTAATCAAACAATCTAAAACTAATTTTTTATACTTTATAGTTTAAAGTAAGTATCATAGTAGTATTAACTATTTTTTTTTATATTATTATGATTAGGTATGATAAAAAAATAATTCCATATTGAAGCATGTGATTATTTTTGTAAATATCTATGGGTAATATTATCACAGATTATTTTTCATATGATGTGTGATAATATGATCAAAACCACAAAACTATTTTTGGAAAAGTGAAAAGAGATTAGCCTGTCCAGGAACTTCTCACGCGGTAGAGTAATTGTTTCACTTGAAGTGTAACAAGTTGAAACCAAACATTGTTGTTCATTTGATCCAAATAAGGTCAAAGAAAATTATTGAGCTCATTTGGTATTCTTGTATGGTTACAACTAGACGGCGCAACTTGTTACACTTCAAGAGAAACAATCCTTCTGCTGGGTGAGAAATTCCTAGACAGACTAATTTCGTTGCGTGGCCAAAACTACCCACCTCGATCTTGCGATTTGACGCCGTATGATTTATTTTTATAGGGATACACTAAGTTACATGTTAACCAGAACAAAGTTCGAAATGTCTTAGAACTTAAGCAGGAAATTCGTCGGGTCCTCGACGAACTTGAATGGGCAATGTGTTATCCAGTGATGGTAAATTTTACGAAAAGAATAATCGTCTGTAGGGCTAGTAGGAAGGGTCATATTACTTATTGAGTGTTAAAAAAAAATAGGGGCACAACAATTTAATTATTTTGAAACACTTAAATTATTCAAATATAACTCAGAAGTGGTAGCCGGTAGGTATATTAGGTATATAGTGTTATAAATAACTTGCGATATAATATTTTACTTCATAAATTAAATAAATAAATACTAACACACAGTACTGAAAAAGTTATTATATAATTGAAAATATGGAATGGTGAATATTTTTTACGCTTTAGGACTAGCGGCGGCAGCACGAATGCAATAACGGGAATGTTTTCAAAAACAAAAACGCATAGATGTGATATAGTCAAAACCATTTGGTCAAAACACACCAGTTTCAACCGGACTCGCCAAAACGCATGGTGTGGTGAGGCCCTAAATTGAGGGGTTATTTTCCAAAACTGCCTATTTCCAAAAACATGATTTTTCAAAAAGACCAATTTTCTATTACAACAATGTTGAAAGTTAAATATTTAATTGAACTATAGTTCTATATATAAGTAGAATTAAAAAATTAACACATTTTTCAAATTAATTTTAATGAAAAGTTAATTTGTATACCTTTTTTAAAAGATTTTCTACATCTATTTTATGTAAAACGTACCATAACCTGGAAATAGTCTTCTTTGGAAAAAACAAAATGGAAATTGTCTGTTTTGTAAAATAAAATTAATTTTTTTCCAAAAAATGTTTAAGACGTTTAATATATAAAATATAAAAATACAATATAGTAAATACTAATATTACGTTAACGTTAATATTATAATTAAAGACCGGATATAATTGCATTAAAAATATCTTAAAATTGCACTAAAAAGATGCCAAAATTGCAATGAAGATGTATCAAAATTGCAGTATAAATACATTAAAATTACATAGTAAAATCATATCAAATATATAATCATTAATTACTTAAATAATATTATGGACATTTATATAATATTTACAAAATATATAAATTTTCTGAATTAAAATTTATAATTATATACATCTCTAAATTGTGTTCTTGAAAATTGTATTGTCTGTTACTTAAAATATGTTTATATAATGAAAAAGTACGTTCAATTTCGACACTTGTTATCGATGCATATTTAAAATAGTTCAAAAATTGGGTGTTATATCTGAATAAACATTTTGATTTCCTGTTATAATCTCAGAGTCAGGGCCGGATTAACCCGATGAGTTACCCAGCAAAACTCGGTGGGCCGCGAAAATTTTTGGCCTTTTAAGTTATGTAAGGCCGCTAACAGAAAATATTAATAGTTTAAAGTTGAAGATTAGTGCACCTATTGAAATATGCGATTAAAAAAATTTTGACAAGGGCCACCAGTTAGTAAGTGGGCCGGTAACATACAGAAAACTCGGTGGGCCGAATTTGTCCAACTCGGCCTTGCTCAGAGTAAGTTTTAATAGTTTTATATCCTTCATTTTTTTTCTAAGACATATTTTAATTTATCTTTAACTATTTTTCCATTAGGGTCGGGAATATTTATAGAAATATTTATACTAAATATTTTTATTTAGTTAGTATTTGATTAGTATTTATTTATTTAGTATTTATACTAAATATATATAAACTATTAAGTAATTGACTATTTGATTCTTTTAAACTTATGAGTTTTGTAGATAACCCAGATAAATATAATTTCAAAAATCCTAAACTACATTTAACTACATGTAAAAATGTACATCATAGTTATATTTTTTTTGTAAAATAACTTTGGAAATAATAATTTGTATATTTTATCACGTGAAATATGAAAAAATTGCAATAATTGCAAAAAATTGCATTATTAAATTAAATAGGAAGACTGTAATTAATCTGATTCGTATACATATTTGATAAGATTTGATTAACTGGGTGCCAATAAAAAGTTGCAATATCAATTAAATCCGCTCTTTAATTATAATAAATAATAATATGGATAATATTTTGTTATACATTTGAAGTAATAAGTCAATATTCTTATCAATATAAAGTATTAGTGTTCACTGTATACGTATTATGTACTATAAATGTTATTAATAGACGCCATGTTGCTGGATGGACAAGTTTGAGAATTCTTATCTCAGTAAATATACAACACATGAAAATGAAAAACGCTTTGCAACGTTCCAAATGTTCACTAAAAAATTAAAACGTTTTGCTCCACTATCCTTGTTTATAAATATAATCAATATTATAAAGATAATCTTCTTTAAAACTTTTTAAGATTCGGATCACGGAAATAGGCAGTTTTGATAAAAAGCAAATATTTTGCCTATACCAATAACACAGGGAAATAGGTATATAAATATAAAAACATTTTTAAGCTCTATATTACAAATAGTGCATTTTGCAATAAATGGAAATGGTTAATTTTGAAATAAAATATTGATGGAAATAGGCACTTTTGAACAAAATGGCAATTTTAACATCGAGTTTTACTGAGGAAAAAATGCAGTTTGTCAAAAATGAATCATGCCATTCGATTTGTCGTGTTTTTCTACATATATTTCCATGTATAATTCGAAAATGGGAATAGGCTGTTTTGAAGAAGAATCCCTCAATTGTGAATCATATAATTTTAATGACCTTGTATATGTATAAATAACATAAGGTGAAAATCTATGATTGATATGACAATTTGCAATCGTATCATACACTGTTAAAAACAATAATTGTTATTATGTTTGTACTATTTGTTTACTACATATTTATCGGAATTAATAGAAACGTAAGTGTTATTATAACTATATTTAGCAGTACAAAAGAAATTGAAAACTTTATCGATAAAAAAAGTAAAGAACTTCAATCCCAAGAATATTTATATCAGGTTATCGAGCAACATATTATATCGAACCAGAAATAAATATTTCTGAGTAATTTAAGCTTGATGAGAGGTAATCGAGTATCAATAACCCTTCCAGGTTGGTTTATTAACTATGATATTTATAAATAATTAATAAACGGATGTCATATTTGATACTGATTCGAATTTTATTCTTATAAACTGAAATTTTCAAAAACTTATACCAATTAAATTATGATGGATATATTAGATAATGCGTAAAAAAAAAAAAAAAAAAAAAAATAATAAAACTTGTATTAAACCTTAATGGGAAGAAATTAGAATTATTGTTTGTTAATGATAAGACATTGGTTTAGAATTGAAAGTTTGAAGACTTGGTACCGCTTTGGTAAGCTGTGAAAATAGTGAAAATGAAATTTAGTTAGTGAATGATATTGTATTTGAACGATCATCAAAATGTCCAAGACAAAAAAAAATTAGCTACCTACATAAGTTTTGTCATATCGATTCAAATCTCCTAATGAAAAATCCAATACAATATTTAAAAAGGTAAAACACCGCAGTTCTCTACGCTTCGAACTGTAGAATTACAGTTGTGTTTAAATTTACGAATGGGATTAATGGGAGAAAAAATAAATTCTCCTCGAAAAAAAATTACTATCCCGTAGTACCGCGGGGAAGAGAACACGGGATCCTGATAGGCGACGGAAGTGTGACGACGGCAAATAACGTACCGTTGTTCTTGGTGATCTGTTCGTTAAGATTGTCGATCAACCGACGGCTGCAATCGTTTATGTCGGCCATCATGGACCTGAGCTTGGTGGTGGTGAAAGTCGGGCTCAGCTTGGACCTGAGCGCTTTCCACTGTTCGCCCCGCATGTTGAACAGATGGTTGAACAGCTTGTCGTGCTTGAACGACACGTCGTCGGCGGTCCGGTCGTAGAACGAACTGAAGTCCTTGACCATGACGTCATGCACGATGCCGGGATCGCGGATGATCAGCAACGGCTCACGGCCGCCGTACACGCCGAAGTACCGTCGGCCGTGGTAGCGGTTGTATAGCTGGTGCACGAACGCGACCAACGGAGTACGGCCCTTGACTATGTCGGCGAAGTTACCGAAGAACACTTCGGGCTCGGGGCCGGGCACGCCGAGCCCTTTCCACTTGCCGTACGTGCACGTCAGATACCTGTACCACAGGAGCAGGGCGACCGCGACGGCCGCGGAGACCTGTAAAATCGAATCCGACCACCACGTCATGGCGAAACGTTTACGCACGGACAACTCCTCCGGCCACGTAAATAATGTATAAAACGTTCGTCGCCGAAGTCCTACGCAATAATGTTTGCCACGTACGCGCGGACCTATCTAGACGCGCTGCGGAACTACGCGCCCAATAACCGGTTCGACTTGTACGCGCGCGCACTCGCGTATCGTGTGATCGTGTGCGCAGCACTCGTCGCGAAATCTGCCGAGATAACCAAAAACGATTAGATTCCGTATTTACTCGTGAGTTCGATTCCGCGTTCGTGTTTTTATCGTATTTTTACGGTTCGGTAATAATAATAAAAAAAATATACTTATTATTAAAAAAAAAAAAAAAAATGTAGACACGTTACGGAGATTATTTTCTCCTGAAAACGTTTTCGTTTCAAATTTTCATATTTATTACCTGGGCTAGGACTTGTATAAAAAAATATGCATTGTATATACCAAAATGTGCGCAGATATGAATTTTAATTTTTATAAGCCAGGCCCTATTATTTGTACAATTTCGGACTGCACACTTAATTTTACTGCTTTAAATGAAAATTTAGTCTTGCTACTGTCTTAGAAAAAGGAATATATTACATACATAATATATATATGCATAAAATTAAAAAAAAATCAATAATACTCATATTTCCTAGTAGTTGGCTTATTATTTAATTTTTGTTTTGTAGACCGAAGTGCACACTTGTACATTCGTGGTACACATTGTGTGTCGGGATGCACATAAAAATAGGGCCTGTTATAAGTAGTACGGTTTCGATCATCATCGCGGGAGCACGTGCTTTATCGCGCTCCGTAATCCGTATTGACAACGTCTAATGACCGTAGTCCGATCGTTATTATGCAACACATATTTAATGGGTTGTAACGAAAGCGAACCGTTTCACATCCATTAATATAGCATCGCTTTAATCACCACCGGCAACGAATTCTAAACGACACTTGTCTTCGCATTCCAGCTCTCCCAAGTATGAAATAAAAACCAAATATTTCATCTCGCTAAATCGATTTGCTGTTTTGTCAACGGCCGATGATGAGCTGGTATCGGACGTACTTAACATACATCTAATTCCAATGCTACAGAACGTGAGTAACTACCATCAAGTAAAAACGTACTGAAGTCCATTCATATACCAGCGATTAACGTAAAGCAGTTGCGTAGTTACGGGGAGGGTGTAAGGGGTTTCCACCCTCCCACAGATTTTTTTTTAATGATATTTGATTATTAATATTTACATATTATAGTAAAATATTTTGATTTTACTATGATTAGGTACATATTAAAAAATGAGTAACAAAATAATTTTCATTAAATACGGAACAATATATATATATAATACCATTTTAAATGTAATATTATTACATATGACCTCGTTTTATGATATACTAAGAACATTTAAAAACTTACTCTTAATCACCCCCCCCCCCCCCAGAAAAAAATTGTATCTACGCCACTGACGTAAAGAATATCAGAAACTTTTCTGAGTTTCGTAAAAAATTAATACACCTCACGGATATTAATAATTTTTCGTGTAAGTCTACACCATTTTATTTAATAATTAGGGCTAACAATCACCCCGCCTCCGCCACTATTTCGAAGTATTTAATAAGCACTAGCTCGGAATTTCATACCTTCCGACCCATTATATGCGCCACTTAAAGGTAGTAATTCGCAATCTAGATCATACCACTATTCTATCCGATATGACAGATGCCCTGGCGGAGCATGGACACTCTGTGGTACGCGTGGTGAATATAAGAAAGAACCAACGTCCGTTACCACTTTTCCACGTCGAATTGGCACTTAAGAATAATAACCTTGATATCTTTAACATATATCAACATTGCTTCATTCCATTGTAGTCATCGAAAAACCATACGCTAAAAATAATGACCCACCTCAGTGTTTTAAATGTCAAGCATATGATCATACCCGTAATTATTATTGTCACTCACCTAGATGCGTAAAATGTGGTGACGACCATCTCACAGCGCACTGCACCAAAGACCGGTCATTCCCGGCTAAATGCGCTCTGTGTTCTAGTGATCACACAGCCTCATACAAAGGATGACCAATTCGCAAAACATTTTTACTATCAAATAAAAAAAAAACAAAAATGCCAGAACCTCAAAGGCAAGAAGCTCGTACTCGTCATCATGGCAACAACACCAAAGTGGGTCCAACGTATACCAACATATCTTCAGAGCAACCAACACACACTATTTCTGATACTATATCTACATTTCAGACTGAAATAAAAATCTTATTAAACTCTCTACTTTCCCTTTTCACCGTCCTAATAAACAAACTCACAACGAATTTCTCATAAGTTACCACAGCCAATTACCAACAATTGCATTCAACCTGTTTATGTAATCTATACGCCCTTATCTTTATATTAACCTTATTACTATTATTATATTTTTGGTTTTTTCTTTCTATTCTGTATACTCAATATTATAATATCTTATTGTTAATTTAATTTAATTACGTCGTAAATAATATAATTGTTGAGCTGTAATAGTTGATACTAAAAACTAAGTAAAAAAAAAAATATAAGATGCGCATAAAACCGTAAATGATAATAATAAATAATGTAAATGTAGTTACAAAAAAATATGTATTTATTGAAAAAAGATCAGATTGGCTGATTGTTTTAATATAATTGAGATTCAAAAATAAAAATTATTCATTTATTTTTCACATGCATATTTATTAATTATTATTTTAGAAATAGATTTATTTATTTTAATTATTTTAGAAGTGTATAATTCGCATTCAATAGTGAAAACTCGTTTGTTACATGCTACGGCAACATGTTTTTTCAAATTGTCGAGTATAAATGATCGATTGGATGGTTGTGTTAATTTATACTGGCTGAAGGCTTCTCTCAATATCACACGATGTAGATGGCGCATATTTAAACAAAGGAATTCATCCTAGTGTTGAATTAAAAATGAAAACGTCATCGTTCGATTCGCCGTTTAATATTTTACCTATCGATTGTGGAGTATTTTAAATCCTTTAGAACTGTGTGTTATATCTTGTAATCATCTTAATCGTTCTTGTAACGTCTAAATTATAGACGTTTTATAGACTCTGTAGCCCCGGCTACCTCTATGTTTGTAGTTAGACCGAAAAATGCTGTTACACCGTCGATCGTCCTGGGCATAGTTGTTCCACGACGTTTCTACAGTGTTTGCCGACGTCAGTAGTTCTGCGATTTCGGCGCTTTGACGGAGACACACACAAACTGTAACTGTGCGTTATTTTGCTACCGTCTAATTTCTTTGAGTTATGACCGTGTTTATTCGAGTATTGCACATCGCACGAGATCAAACAGGTTGTCGACACTCCAGTTTGTGAGTTGGTCGGAGTCCGATCTTCTGGCGGTCCTTCGGTCTGCCGCACGTGTTGTTGCGGTCGCGTGGGTGAAACCGTACGGATACCAACTCTCGCCCGTTGTCATATTTGTACATTTTGACTGTTTACTTTTCAATTAAATATTATTTATTGCGTTCTCGTGTAATTATTATTATTTTATAGAACAGCGCGTCTGCAACGTATGTTGATTTACATATCTTTTAATTTTTAGGGCGCTCTCCTTTATTTCCGCGTTTATTATTATAACTTCATTCATTATTGTACTTAATGTAATACATTAATTTCTGTTTGTTCTCATAACTGTTGAATTATTGGCATTCGTTTCATTGAATCAATAGCGATGTTCCTTTTTATAATAAATTTAGTACAATCTTATGTTGACATTTTATATCACATCGATTAAGACACGTAAAAACGTGTATTGAAAATTGAATACCGTGTCTGCTTCCAGTAGTCACTCAACGTGGTGGAATAGTTTATTGTTATTCACAATGTACTTACAATTAATATGTGCACGCCAAAATTGCAGTAAATGTGCGTCGAAGCGTTTAAGAAAAGAAACAATGTAGTGATAACAATTGTTGCAACAACAAAACTTTCCAATTGAAACAATAAAAAGGTTCAATTATTAATGGTTTGATACGAGGTTTGAACATATGCTATATAATACTGCACAGTAGACAAGACATTAGTCATGAACAATAACGATTAGGTTCAGATCGACAATAATTATTTATCACGCAGGTTTATCATCGCATATTATAGGTTACATCACAAATAAAATAAATGTAATATACCTGAAGGATTAGCTGAAGGATCGTTTTTCTCAAATGTAAATATAGAAATCTTTGAAAGACGAAATACTATTGATGACAGACTGTCTCAAAAATAAATAAATATAAGATCTGGAATAAGGATATTTCGATATGATCCATATTCCAGACGAAATAATACTAATAATTCCAGAATTAATGATTCAAATGTTATAAACATCAGGCGTCCACCTAGTCTACCTAGCCGAATCGATATAGAAGTAAGTGGATTAAATTATGATACTTCACACTCATATATCGTAATATTGATCAAAATTAATCATGGATTTAACTTTAAATAATTTAACCTTAAAAATTGTAATACTAAGTTATTTATATTAATTATATATTAGTCACAATATTTTTTACTACGTAATACATTGTAATAAAGGTAAATAATTGTATTGGACTTGTAAAAACAGAAAACAATCTGAATAATAAGATATTACAAACACTTTTGTTCAAGTTTACCGAATTATGGTACTGATTATTCATGTTTCATTTGAAGAAATAAAATAGGTTGCTTGGAATTATTCTATTTTTAGAGTATAAATTTTAAGCTCACATATTGGAAAATAAATACTTTATTTTTATACTTTTAAGCTATTTCTATAATAAGAAAAAAATATTTTATTTAATAATTATAAATTTTACGATAGAAAAAAAAATTTACAAATCGTTTTGATTTT